CTGGCAATACGGCTAGAAATACTGTCGTATATTATATATGATATTGAAGAAAGTTAGCCGTTAACACTGTTGAATAAATATAATATAAATCATCAAAGGTACATATAAAGTGTTTAATAAGGACATGATGGAATATCGTAGGCATAGCATTGTGTAATACAATGTTCCCGACGGGTATTTGGACCTGTTCAACCATGAAGCCTTCGTGGTTTAGTGACGCTCGCCTTGTCAGCGAGAGGTCGCAGGTTCGAATCCAGTTCGAGGCATTTTATTACACAATGATTTTTCATAGGACTTTATTCGTTAAAAAGCTACAGAGTAGCCTTCGATGTTCCATCATGTCCTTATTAAACACTGTATATGTACCTTTGATGATTTATATTATATATATATATATTCATTCATTAAATGAATGAATATATATATATATATATATATACACTATATATACACTGTATATAAGGCAAAATACGGTTTGCCTTTTGTTACTGAGCCAATTAAAACCATTGTTTCACTGGAATGTTCAAATTTATAGTGGTCAGGTAATAGGCTATGTGTTGTCATTGATTAATTATTAATATAAAAAAAAAACCTGATATAAATTAGTCCCGACCGGAACTTTTTCAAACCTTCATTTCAAAATGATGAATACACGTAAACAAAGTAGCTCCCTCCGGATGTTCATTTCCCAATGTTTTATCACACATACGCCATTATGTTGTTATTATTTTGTATCGATATAATTTTCAAATATTAAGCAATTAGTGGAGCTCCTCATAGTACACTATAGGAAAATTATTATACGAAGGTTAGATTTAATGCTTGAAAAAAATTTCATAACTACACAAGACGGCCTTATGTATGTGAAGGCCTCGGCGGTATCCTGCCTAGTCGTAGGCTTACCTAATTTCTTTCCTTGAGTTTTTAAAATAGGTCTAGAATATTCCTATTGAACGTTCAGTTTGTTTAGTTTATTAGGGTTCATTGATTTTTTTTTTTTGCACACGAACCTAAAAAAAACCAAGCCAACCGTCCACTATGTGAAAAATTATTGGACTGTGGGGGATAGTCAAATAACATTGGGAGCTGCAGTGATGACGTCACGATTGACTTATAATAACAATTATCTGCGCAATACAACCTGGTCAATATATTATCGCACGAGTAGTATATACTTTATGAACGTCACACATTGCGTCGGTAGGCAGGTCTGCTGTGTGGGTCAAGCACGTGTGTGGATCATTCTTTTTGACGGGGGTGGGGGGAGAGGGAGAGTGTCACTGACGACAATAGATAGAAAACAAAAACAGAGACATATTTTTCATGGAAATATGAGTATTAGGCCTACATTATTTATTTTTAGCAAAGTACGCACTAATGCCTGTCAACTTTCCGACATTCGATTTTTAGACCTATTTAAACCTAGGTAGACCTAGGCCTAGGTCCTAGGCGCGCCTGTGTTGTTTGTAATCCACCACACAACACCAAATCAGCCATGGGTAGCCAATACCGATCAATGCCCCGATCATTTTGCAAGCATTTCATTCTAGCCCGCCCGGGTAAACGTATGTTAAATGCTTTAAACACCAGTGATAATCAAACAGTTATAAACATTATCTTCAGTGCCTTTCAACTCTCCGACATTAGTTTTTTTTTTTTTTTTTAATTTATTCTTTTTAAACTGTTTTTAAATATAGATATTAATTATACGTATCAAAACTATGTATAAGGACAGTTGGGACAGTCCCACACAATTTTTCTAAATGGGTCCACAAAGAATGGGTCCACATTCTCAGTAGCCTAATGGGTAAAAAAATGGGTCCAAATTATGTAATTTTATGCATTAAATGTGTCCACTTTTTGAAAAATGGGTCTAGATTTCTCAGTAGCCTAATGGGTAAAATTTAAGAAAATTGGTCCAGATGTTTAATATTTTTGTGTAAAATGGGTCCACATTGAATTTACGAGTGAAGTAGGTCCATCTTGATATTGTCCCGCACTATTTGAAAATCCTAGTTACGGCATTGATAAGGGACTAGGCGACTTGACTTTGTTCTACTTGCTTTTATTTCTCCTTGCTTTTCGTTATGATCACAGTTGTTTAAAGTTACAACAACGACCTTCACAGCAAAGAGGGATTGCTTGACACCAATTCGACCTAGGTGTTCATCTAAAAAATGGCCAAAGAGAAGAATATGACAGAAGTAGCCACTAATCCACCAAAATCAACGTTAAACGGTTTTCTTCGAGCTTCTGCAAATTGCCAAACAGTTACTTTTGCAAAAACACTGTACTATCCTGATATTCCAATGTATACTATCGTGATATTCCAAAGTACTGATTTTATTTTACCGGTACTTAAAATCGCTACTACATATATTTAAAAAAAGACAAAAACAAAACACCAATTTGACTACATACATTGCAAGACATCTTCCTTAGTCAATATAATACGGTGTTGCAATACAAAAATTATTAAATTAATTCTCAACAGTCAAGTTAGTTAAACTGATGGGCTGCAGCTTTATTTAAACGAATTAGTAGGCCTATATATTACTTTACTTTACTAGAACAACATGTACAAATCATGACATTGTCATTATGTCTTACTGAGACAAAATCAGATCAGATAAACGATATTAAGACCTACAAGTTTATAAACCAATTATTAAGCCAAAGACATTAGCTAGCCAAAAATATTTTGCAATTCACAGCGTTTGTATGTTTATTGAAGATTATACGAATCAGGGTCTATAATTTGGGTTATTTGGAATAGGACAGTTTAAACAATCAATCTAATTTACATACCGGTATGCCAAATTATTGATAGAGTACAAAAAATGTTCAATTTTTGGAAGCATGTTCCTCAAGATAAAGAAACCAAATTTTCATTTTACTGTATTTTAACTGTTTAAAAATGTTAGTGAAGTAATTTTATTAAGAAATGGTTAATATGGCAGCACAATTTTCTCTCATTTGAAATACCAGTAATATATTGAGCTTACAATATAGATTGTTAAAACCGACGTTTAAACTAAACATTGAATACAACGATGCCTATATCAGAGATCCGATATTTACACAAAGAATCAAAAAACCTTGTACACTTTGTAATACACAAAATATAGATGATTAAAAAAACACTGTGTTAAAATGTTTTAAGAAACAGATACATTAAAAAACGTTTATACCCGCCCAAATATTTAAAGGATGATTACTGATTAATCAAAGACTTTATATGTAATGCAATTAAAATACAAATATTTGTATTATATATTTTAATTCTTTCATGATATTTATTCTGCAAGAATGATGATGATGACAACAACTACAGCACAAAGGCGTTCAGTTTTTATTTCAGTCCCACCAGAACACCAGCAATGACAACAGGAGTACCAATGCCTTTAGTTTGCCTGGATTTCCGTCCGAATGATGGGTATACAGCTAGTATTGAGATATATAATATATCTCAATTATTATTGAGTGACTGAACGAATATATTTGGGATCAAACATACCATATAACAGGTCAATTTAAAACAAATAAAAAACTTTTTTAAAATTTATACTTTAAAGATTAAGATGTCTAAAACACCCGTCATTAATATTGTGTTGCACTGAAATTTTTTAGAAATTTCGTGAGCGCTTTAATAAGACCTAAATAAATTTTAAACTTGAGAGCTTCCGATATTATTTGCTCACCTTTTCCATGTAATCGTATGAGGAGTTTGATAAGAAGTGTCCATCGGCAGCAATCTCACGTATTTGATTGTTCATCTGACAGATTTTACCCTGGCGATTATAATTCACTGAAAAACAGGAGGTTTGTCTTGAGCAAGCTAACAGACACTGGATGTGGTTATAGTTCTTCGTCTCCTGACTCCAGCCTTGTAAAACATGCAGCGGGACAATAACATACTGGCCTGTGTTAACAAGAGAAATACTCTCTCCTAAATAGAGGACAAGAAAAAACAAGGCAGCAGAGAAAAACATTGTCCTATATTAATAGAATGACGAACGAATAATGTCCTTGTTCATTGCATAGCACTTTTTATAGTATCACAGGTCCAAGATTATTCGTAACAATGATCACTAATAAACTGGATTTACTGTGGATTAGCTCCTAGAAACTGTAATGAAAAAAAAAAACATCATGCAGAGTGACGCTTATGCAAAGAACTTATAATATTCTTATTGATTGCATTATTCGGAGTATGCCTGTCTCTTATACACATCTAGATGTGTATAAGAGACAGATTGTATGTCGAGCGTTGACAAAAAATTAAAGTAGTAGAAATATTTTAGTAAAAGTCAATTGTACCTATCTGAGATTTTTTACCGTTACACAGAATTTATATTGTCAACAAACACTAGATATGAGTATAGTTCTTTATAGCTGACTCCAGCCTCATAAAACATGCTGCAGACATACTGACCTGTGTCAGCAATAACAATACTGTCTCTCGAAATGGAAATGAAAGGGAAAATATAGCATTATCCTTCAATAATAACAGGAAAACTTTGCATAGAGCCTTTCAGAATATTATAGCTCTACGATCTTTTTAACATTAATTAGCAATATACTGAATTTAGATGAGCTCTTAAATAACGAACTAATCATATAGTGACGCGAACGAAATAAATTAATAACAATCATATTATGTTATTGACTGTCATATCAATGGTGACAATATGAGACTTTTGCGTAGTAATGAATTGTATTGTAATTTGTATAACATTTGTATAACGACAAAAAAAACCAACTGTTACTAATCTACGTAATAAAATAAAGGTAGAAACAGTGGTTGAATTAGGGAATGATATAATCATAGCATTACCGCAAGACGGTTTAGAGCACAGGTGGGCAAAAAGTGCGGCCCGACGGCGATTTTTTTTTTGCGGCCAGCGAATAGAAATTAAAACCCCATGTGTGCGGCCCGCCAAGCAACATTGGCTAGAAAACACCTTCTTTTTCACGGCCCGACACCGATCATATGTAAAAAGTAACATTAAACTCAGAATAAAGTGGTGTAAAAGCAATGCTTGGAGGTTTTTGGAAGGTCACTAGAAACTAGAAAGTTTGGGTGCGGCCCTCATTGTTAAATCGAATATTCACTTTGGCCCTCCGACCGATGTTTATGCCCACCCCTGGTTTTTAGAGCTAAAATGAAAACGTAAGTAAACAGCCAGGACAACACCATATACCTTTCTAATGGTACGGACAGAGCCAACCCGTCATCATTTTTGAACATTTATCATTGTTTCTGTAGGCAACGTGTAACATTAATATCTGTTTGATGAGTAATTTGGTTTTTTTTCCATTCTTCCAACAAATATCAGTTAATCTCGTCGTATGCCATGATGATTGACACTTTATTGCAAATAAGTTAATCCAATAAGATATATTCTTAGAGTAATTTGTTTAGCAACAATAAACGTGACATCTACCAAGTTACACTGTAATTACTAAATTACACCACATAAGTTAGTTTCCTAAGATGAAAAGTATAATTAATAAACAATTGTAAAAATTGACGTAATCGCTGGCGGCGCTAAAGCGTTTTTCATATTTTTATTACGGTACAAGCAAACATTCCTTACAGCCTCAACTGATATCATTCTCTCCACCAAGGAGGTTATGTTTTCACTGCTGTCTGTCTGTCTTTCGTGATGTCTTTTTGTCTGTCTTTCTGTTAGCAAGATTGCCAAAAACCTAATGAATTGATCATCATAGAATTGAGTGGAATGGTAGATAATACATGAAGAAAGACACTGTTCAATTTTCGGAAGAAAATGTCATAAGATAAGGTCAAGTTCAAGGAAATTTGATTATGCCCTCGAGCATAAAACAAAATAATAGAATCCCCCCCACCCCCGTATTCAAGCAGCACTAAAAAAATAATGTACATAAAGGCAACGGGCGATTCCATTATTTTCTTGACGGGTATGCTGTATTTTCGCCCATCATACACCGCCTGATAATTGTTGGTATTCTGACACAGGGTGGAGGTATGTACTTTATAGAGTGACTGCTCCATGCCCCTATATAATTAATAAAAAGTTAGGCATATCTCAGACTTCTAAAGAAACGTAAGGCTCAATTCTCGGCATTGTATCTATGGTCTATTCGCACATGTCGGCTCGACCTAGCCAAACGAAGCCTAGCATACTCTTGCCCGCGGACGACCAGCTCGAGTTGGCTTGTTCTTTTCCGGCCCGAAAATAATTGGAAACATTTTAATTTGCATCTTACTTTAGATCAACATTAAATTTAGGGAGGACCGAGATACACGTTGTAACATTGTCAATGTTTTAAGATTTGAAGTAAATCGGTCAGGTTTTTTTTTAGTTTAGCGCCCGGAAGGAGACACGAACACAGATAGACACGCGCTATAATTGCAACAACCTTCACCTCTCTTTCGGAGACGCGAGGGTAATAACTTCATGTTTTGAGATTATATTTCTCATAGTTTATTGTTCTAGATTAGTTAGTAACAACAAGTAGTACAGAACTCTTGAAGATGACCCAATCTAAATCAAACGTTTAAAAATGTCAAAACGTTAAATCATGCCGGGACCTTTCATTATTCGGAGTATGCATATCGTTCGCTCTAAATACAAAATACATTAACCGTTTGGTAATTTCTTTACAGTATTTGCCTTTATTTTGTTTCCACATTTTGAACATGCATCATTTTTGTGCAATACAACAATCTATTTTTTATAATGTTTAGATCATAATGATATATTTACTGCTATAATTTACATAAGGTTTTTAAAACAAAGTTAATTACTATATTCTGTATAAATTCTAATCAAACATATTGTTTTCATTAGTAAAGGTAGGTTCGATGGCATTAAAATCTTCAGTTATGACGTAGGGTAACAAAAAGAAACACCAAAACTCTTGATGTTATCACAAATTAGATTACCTACAAAAATACGCATTTTCTATAGTATTATTCTTTTCTAATATAATTCTTAACCATAGACCGGTCGGATTTGGAGGAAGGTGTCACATTTTTGCAGAATGTACCTGACCAACTTTTTCTAATGTATTTTTCGTGAGTGGATTTCCCGTATGGTTAAAAATCGTAACGGTACTGGGTTTGGTCTACAGGAGTTCGTGCTTCGAACAGGTCATTCCATTCATAGAAAATGCCTTTTGATGGAGAAAGTGTACCTTTTTAGCAAAGGTTTGCCTAGGTCGAAACTAACTCCGGCTATATAAAAATAATTGAAAAATTGAAAAATATTAATCTTATTGTTGTAGTAGTGATACTATGTACACGTTTAAATTATTGTTATTTATTTGCTAACGTCATTATATTTACATTTAAATTTAATGTATTGTTTAAGTATGAATTACTATGTACATGTAAAACAATCTAGCATTGATGTTACAAAAGCATGAAGAAGATCATTTGATCTAGGTTCTAGCTACTTCCGGATACTCCAAATACCTACGAATTGACTGAAGCCCGGCTTTATAATCATTAAATTATAATGATTTCTTTCTGAGCACATTATGACCCTTTCTTGCATTTTACGTTATGGCATATAACAATAAACGGCTCCTGAATGTGTTGTCTTATTTTTAAAACCCCAGCTAACGATTGTTTCATTTGTTTTGCCACATCCATTTCTAGTTATTATTATAGGGTAAATAACCTCCCCACTTGTGACCCAACCAGCCTGACAACAGTCATATCCTGAATCCAAGGCGTGCTTTAATTCTGCTCTCGTTGCCATTCTAGCGCCGCGGTTTGTGCACAAAGCATCGGCATCATAGTAATTCAAAGAGTAACGACTTTCTCCGTCTCCATTCACAACACGATGATTGGGGAATGGATCAGTGTAATTTAGGTTCTCTTTTGAGAGTGGTACAAAACAAAATGCGTTAAATTCTTCGTTGAGACTCCGTAAACGAATATGATTACCTGCCGGATAAAGCCAGAAGTCAGGTGGCGTATGTCCCTTACATGGATTACCTGCCAACCAGCTTGAAAGCCACCCTGTTTCGCAAAGATTAACTCCTAGTGACAATGTGTTATTGTAAACGTGAAGAGGTGTTGCAAGC